TAAGCCGTAAGGAACACGTGTTCCACGGCTTACGTTTTTCTCTGCCTTACCTTAAGTCTACGGCTACGTCAGTCTTAAGCGCTTACGGATAGTTGTCTGCCATCAGCCTTACAGTTACTCGAAAAGTAACGAATCGTTACTTTGCAGTTACTCCCTTGCAATAGAAATAAAAATATCGAATCTGTATCTGAATTGTAAAGCGGCGATAAAGGCGTTTTGCGCAAATGCAAGGCCTAATGCGATCTGTGGAGGTTGAAAAAATATATAAAGTAACTATTAATGTAACTATTAAATTAGTTACTGGTTATCGAAAAAATGTAACTGAGTTAAGTTACAGTTACAGATGTAGAGAAAGTAACGAAGTTAAGTTAGAGTTATCAAAAAGAAGTAACTGTAACTTCGTTACAAGTAACGAGTTACTTCCCAACCCTGACAAATACATATGTATTCTTCGTGCGACTGATTACAAGCTTTATTTATACAAATCTGTTGGAGTATGTGCAAACGTAAGACGAAATAATTTTAGAGTACTTCCATACTATCTATGTCCACTCCAATATCGAGAAAATCGTCGGTGTAATCCTGAACCTGTCTCTGTACCGGTGGATGTTCGGAATGATCTGGATCATCTGTTACAGGACTGGGTGGTGGATTTGATACTGTACGATCGGAATCTACTGGCATTCTGTCCATGCCTTCACCACGTCGTAATCTTACTTCCTCTGCTATTTGTCTCGTCGAGAGTTCCGCTCTTGTTAACAAAGCTGGTAAATCCTTTTCGGATCTATCTGCAATTCCGAGACAAATTATGTATTCTAAAGTGTTTTTCAAAAAGAAAACTTGATATTTTATTGGAAACGAATGTTATAACTTACCTTCGAAACTTCGCATTAATTCTTGTGTCTTCTGTCGTCCCGAGTTGCCAGTTCTCTTTCTTTGTTCGCTGCTCTCTTTTTGGTCAGAATAAAATATCTGCCTTATCTTTTCTTGGGGGATATGTTTGTCATTTTTCACTAACCAAAAGTATACTCCACCGGCAGTTCTTCTACGAGATCCATTCATTATTAACATTCCACCATTTTCTTCAATCTCCTTGGTTTTTTGGAAAAAGTCGATAGCTTTCTGCTTACCAATTATATCCACTACTCGTCCTGCAAAGCATACAATATATGTATATGTCTGTGTTACAAATAAATGCAATCTAATATTGCATTTATTTAAAAGTAAATGGACGTAGCATTTATTACTATATGCGGAAGATAAAAGGATATTTTTTACAATTTTTAACATAACTAATTTATAACATTACAACTTGTTATAATGAACTAATTGATAATCATAATCGGCGCGTAAGCAAGTTGAAACAAGAATCTTGTTAATCAAAGCTAGATTTGTGTCGTATCTACTGGAATTTGGTCTAAAAGGGAGCCAGCTTTAAATTATTTCTAACTTGGAAGCTACTAATGTTTCCTTACTTATGAGAAGCTCTTTTCTCTCGACGAGTTTATTGGCTATGTCAGCAGCGACATCAGCATCTGTCGAATCCATAGTTGCAGATAAGTCTGCTATTATTCTAACCGAACCTTTCTGACTATCTGAACCCATCTGAAAGGAGTTCCTCCTTTTTCCTAATCTAAACTTTACATCACGTCTATCTGAATTGGTTCTCTTATTCGTCAATCTATGTTCGATGTCCTTCTCTTCATCAGAACTGTTATTGTTACAAGCTTTCCTGCCATTCCCTGGGTATCGTAGAGTAAAATCGTAACTTTCCACACTACGTTCTTGATACTTCTTTGTAACACCGCACGACGTCAAGTCTTCGGTCAAGGATTCTTCTTGCATCTGGCTACACCATACTTTGTATTTATCATTCTTAGATGTCAAATCCTTCCGCAAATGCTTATTCTTTTTCAACTTAAGTTTAGGCTTTTTAATATTGGCCTGTGTGGAATCCGAGTCCGAATCACTTTCGGACTCGGCAGATTCATCGGACTCGTCGCTGTATCGCATTTTTGTACACACATCTGTGACAGGTGTCGGCTTAGCGTGAGGTCTTTCCAAAATTTTATAGGCTCCAAAGATGTCGCTGGGCTATACAAAATGATAAAATACACTTGTCAATCCCAAAATAATATCAGTAACATTGATAATAATACACACATAAGAAAAGCCTCAAGTATGTACGTAGCAAAGCATGATTTGTTAATTAGTTGACATATGCGCTATATACATTGCAACGCAGAGCTATATGGTATTTCATTTACTTTTTCAACATCTAATCTTAGGCTCGGTCTACAATGAGTAGTCTTTTCCTTTCTGGGTGGGAGAAAGAGAGAGAGAGAGAGAGAGGGCCCAATGAGAAATGATTCGTCGATCGACGTCAATTCGACGGTGTCGATGTCGATTCGACGTCGTTTCGACGTCGATCGACGAATCATTTCTCACTGGGGGAGAGAAAGGGAGAGGACCGACATATAGTTCTGACTTCTGACTAACGACTCATTGTAGACCGGGCCTTAGAATTAATATGCTTTGGTAAACGGTACAAGTTTGTCTAGACACTCAAAGGAGTTCGAGTTGAGAATATGTCACCGGCACTTTACTTTCCTCTACTTGTCGATCTTGTTTTACATACAATTGACATCATCGTCATCATAGTGCATACATACATCCCTCGTTGCAACATAATTCTAGATTACTCGTCATCTCATAGATGATGAGAATAATTTTATAAGAGTAGAAAAGTATTTAACGAAATCGGCACAGGCCGACTACTTTCAAATCCACAGTTTGAAAAGTACTTGACATTAGTATATTCGATAGGTACATATATACGTATATTTATATAGGTTAGACTCGTGTTAAGTAAAAATTTGTCAGTGTATCTCTAACCTCATCGTCGACGATTTCACCATCTTCCAACTCTAATGGCTCCGCTTCCATTCTCCTAAATAGGAAATACTTGGTTTTCTGTCTTTTCTTTATAAATAGAAACGACGTTTTGTAACATACGCACGCGCGCATATACACACCCACGCCAAAGCTAACGCTTTAAAATTATTATCGAGAAAGAACAAGTCTTCTGTTTTCTGGCGACCCAGTCTCAAATGTTTACTAGTGAATCGTATGTACTTATTGTTAGTCTATCTGATTTCCATGATACGATACAAAATTTTCGTTTCTTACCACCTGCTGAGGAATAGCGTAAAGGAAATTTCTATACCAAGTCCAAACTTGTAAACGGTTAAAATCTTGTGTAACGAATTCAGCTTACACTATTCCACACTATTCAGCACGCAAGTGGCAGCTTTAAGGTGCCTTTTCATGCTGACGCTCGACGCTCATTTTCAGCGACAAAAAGGTCACGTGATCACGATTGTCGCTAGCGACCAGTGAACTCTATACATACTGGAATGAGTGATCTATTGTTCTGGCTGTTGCCGAGAGAGAGGTGCGTTTGGGTGAATCCTTGTCTCCTTCTAGTACTACCTGATTGGATAGTCGCATATAAATGACGAGAAGAAGGGAGTCATTTATATGCGATTATCCAATCAGGTAGTACTAGAAGGAGACAAGGATTCACCCAACGCACCTCTCTCTCGGCAACAGCCAGAACTATAGATCACTCATTCCAGTATGTATAGAGTTCACTGCTAGCGACAGATGGAATCCATGAAAAGGGGTATA